CTGCCCGCCGCGCTGCCGGGATCCCGGGCCCCGGCCTCCGAGCACCTCCCACACCGCGGTTGAGAAGCGATGTGTCCGGGAGGGCTGTGGACCTGAGCTTGGGAGGGTCTGTCTGTGGAGGAAGGGACTGGATGGGGGCATGTCCTCAGCGCCACCGCTGGCTACTTTTCCCCTTTTCCCTTTGAGCCTGAGTCCGGGGGAGGCACCTCTGACCCAGCTCTCTGCTGGTTTCTCCACATCGTGCTCCTGCCGGAGGGAGGGGGAGGTCTTGGATTGTGGGGCCTGGGCTCAGAGACTGGGCACCCTGGACACTAAGCCAGGGCACTCTCTAGACAAGGGCCCTGCAGCTCGGCAGGGACCCACTCTGGCTGGGTGCCCAGGCCTCTCCCGCCCAAGGAAGCGCCCTTGAACTGATCCAGATTCCTTGAGTCCTGAGTTTCCTGAGGCTGAGGGTAGGGAGGGTGGGGGACAGGGCTGGGTCACAGTCATGCTGGGGCAGAGTCCCGACGTCGTCAGCTCTGTGGTTGGGAGCTTGTTAACCCCACCCCTCTCCCATAGGGTGAATAGAACACAGGCCAGAGCCTCAGACAAGGCCGCTCTGGTTCCAATTGTGCCAGCTGACTGCGGAGCCAGGACAAAGGGGGCCTGTTTAAGGCGGGGCCCCCTCCCTGCAGCCAGCCGCCCTGGGTGGTAGAATGTGGGGGAGTAAGTCTCCTGAGAACGTGAGGACCTTGCAACCCCCAGCAGGAGTGTCGTGGAGTGGTTGGTGTGTGTGTGTGTGTGTGTGTGTGTGTGTGTGTGTGTGTGTGCGCGCGCGCGCGCGCGCGCGCGCGGGGCACGATCCTGGGGTGAGTGCAGTGCCCGACCTGTCTGCTGCTTCCTCCTGGGGTGCAGGCAGGATTTCCTGGTAGAGGAAGTACTCTGGGGTTACTGGGCGGGAACACGGGAGGCCTCTGAGCTGCCCTGACCTTTCTGTCCAAGACGGAGGTATCTCTGGGTCAGAACCCTGGGAATGGAGGCCTGAAGGGGCTGTATCCGCAGGCACCCCACCCCTTCCCCAGGGACTGGTGACATTTAGGAAACGGGGAACTGCAGACTCCACATTCTTCCTCTCTCCCTCCTCCTTGGGCAGTGGAAGGGGCTCCTCCCCACCCAGTCCCTTCTGGCTTGAGGCTTATTTGGGGCCATTCACCCGACCACATGCTTGGCTGTAGATGTGGGCTCAGGAGGCCTGGGCTGTGAGCGGCCCCTCCCACAGTCCTCAAGGGAGTGGGCAGTTTGGTTGTACGCCAGGCATTGAGGGCCAACTTTGGTCCAACTCTTCCTGTCTCCCCAGATGGGCTGTGGGAGGCTCGGGAGGTGGCGTCTGAGCTCTGAGCTGCTCTAGGTCTGCAGACTGACTGGGCGTGGGCTGCACACATGGCTCAGCCACTGGCCTTCGTTCTCGATGTCCCTGAGACCCCAGGGGACCAGGGGTAAGTGCTCTGGGGCTGGCAGGGTGGGACGTATCACCTGGGGGAGAGGGCTGGAGCCTGATTCCCGCTCCCAATTCCCACTGCAGCAGCTGTGAGTCCAGCCCCCAGGATGATGAGAGCGAGGTGCACCACTCCTTCTGCCAGCTCATCCAGGAGCAGAGCCAGTGGGCAGCCGAGGAGGGGCTGGAGCTGCAGCAGAGGGAGCCAGCGCCTGGAGCTTGGGGGGCCCCAGGTGAGCCCAGGCCTGGATGCCGGATGGTGTGGACAGAGGCTGTGCTTCCCAACCTCTCCTGTTGTCCCTCCTAGCTGTCTGCAGGCCTGGGGTGAGGTGGGGTGGGAGAGATCACTGGCCAATGGCATCTCCAGGACCTGCAGCCAAGTATTTATTGCTTCATAGATGATAGCCACCAGGCTCTCCTGGGGCCTGAGGTTGCCCCGGCCCACAGCACAGCCACGCTACGCATCCTGGCCAGCATGCCCAGTCGTACCATTGGTGAGTGGGACCTTCTGCCCTCGGCTCCTGCATTGACCCCGGCCCCTGGGCTGGGTCAGGATTTTGTCTGGGCATCTGTGCACCTCAGCTCCTGGCCCACCCATCTGCTCCCCAGAGGCCCAGCACAGCCCCATCCGGCCTTCGCTGGGTTCTAAAAATGACAGAGTCGTCACAGGGGTAAAAATAGGCTCTTGGGAACCCAGTGGTATCCATGACCTCTGAAAAAGGGATTTTCCTGGGCCCTGGGAAGGGGTTAGGGATGGGAGGCACGGTGCCAAGAACCATCTGGAGGGTGGGAGGCCCTGCCCGGCCCCGCCCTGCCCAGCTGCTTTCGTAGGCCGCAGCCGGGGTGCCGTCATCTCCCAGTACTACAACCGCACCGTGCGGCTGCGGCGCCGGAGCAGCCGGCCGCTGCTCGGGGAAATGTCGCGCTCAGCCAGGCCCAGCCTCCGCCTGTACGACCTGGAGCTGGACCCTGCAGCTGGCGAGGAAGAGGGTGAGTGTGTGGGGCCGGAGCCTCAGTGCACCGTCTGGGGAGGTGGGGAGGAGGTCAGGCTGGCCTGGGCATGGCTAGGGTGTGGCAGAGTCAGGAAACCCATCCTCCAGCTGCCTGGAGGCTCCCCCGGCTGGGAGGGCCCTCTGGAGGGACCCATGGGGCAGGGCAGTGGGGGTCTTTCAGGCTGTAAAGGGCTTGCCCCCCACAGGCAGGTGCTCAGTAATGTCTGCCGTGCGCACTCCACAAGCACCTGTCGAACTCCTGCAGCGTTGCAGACACTGGGCCAGGCTGTGGGGGTGTGATGGGGTAAACAACCAGTCCAGCTCTCATGCAGCTTCCTGTCTGCCCGGTGGAACAAACAAGAACCAGATAAATGGATGAGCTGTTGATTAAAGCTCAAGAAAGGGCAGCCGAGGAAAGATGCACTGCAGGAGAGCATTCTGGGAACCTGCCTAGCCTAGAGGGATCCAGGGAGGCTTCCTGGAGGAAGTGGCACTAAGCAGAGGGGGCACTTGCAAAGGCCCTGAGGTGGGAGCATGCCTGGCTTGTCAGAGTGGCTCAGAGGCCAGTGTGGAGGGGCTGGGGAACAGCGGAGAGCTGGAGGAGGAGGAGCAGGGACCAGTCTCGCAGGCTGCTCTTCAGCCAGGTGATCCCTGGCGTTCAGACGCTGAGAAGCTCAGGGACAGTCCCTGGCCCGTCCCTCCTGCCTGGTTCCTGGCTCTGGGGTCTGGGCAGACGTTCCCATGTCATGGTTTACTCTGTGACCAGATCAGATTTCAGCTCTCCCAGTGTCATTTCTTATCTGTAAAGTTGGGCTTAGAGTAGCATCCACCTCCAGGCTGGTGTGACAATCAAAGGAGGTGGTAGCCCACCCCTCAAGGCCCAAAGTGTGTGACGCCGGCCATAAGGGGCGGCGCTGACCACCCCCACTGCCTGGTCACGCACAGGCCTTGCCAGGAGAGAGGACTCCTCTGGGTCCCGGAATGCTGGACGTTGAGCTCCCTGGTGCCCTGCTCAGGCCTCCAGAGAGACGGGTGTGGATGGGTGCCCAGCATGGAGGGTGGTGAGCACTCCGGGTGGCCCTGCCGTCTTCCACTCAGCCCACGAGGGCCAAGCATAGCTGGGCAGTGGTGGGGTTGGGCGGGGCCATGGAGGAAGTAGTGGGGGGCTTGATGGAAAGGTGGAGGTGGGCAAGTGAGGGTGGCCAGTGGGGACACTGGGGATGCCAGGAGGCAGGGCCAGAGTGGTCCTGCTTGCTGGCCTGGGTCTAGCTCCGACTGTATGGGCAGAGAGGAGCCAGACTCTGGGCAGCAGGGTGGACATCCTTGTGTCAGGATGGCACCCCAGGGAGCAGACAGGCCAGCACAGGGCCCCGGCCACAGGTGGGAGGGAGGGAGCTTTGGGAATCGACATTTTTGCTTCCTCCCCGCAGAGAAGCTGAACCTCCTGGTGAAGGAGCTTCAGGGCCTGTCAGTGGCCCAGCGAGACCACATGCTCCGGGGGATGCCCGTGAACCTGGCGGAGAAGCGCTGCCTACGGTTAGTACCCACTGGCCACACTGTGGCCCCGAGACCTGCTTCCTCGGCTGGGCTGGGTGGTCGGGGAGAAGGGTCCTCAGCCTGCAGGCGAGCGGTGCCGAGGAGGGAGTCAGACTCCTCCTTGGTCCAGGCACCGATGGCTGCCTCCGTCCTCAGGGACAAGAGCCAGACCCTGAGGGGGATGCGGAGGGGACAGCAGCACCGTGGTGGGGTGTGTTCCTGTTGCAGCCGGCTCGGATACGCCTGTGTCCTGGTAGGAGCCACCTGTCTGTGGCGGGTCCAGGGTGGCTGGCGGGGCTGGGGCAGCCACCCTCTCCTGCAGCCCCCAGCCTCACTCTGGGGCCACACGCACCCCGTCCTGTGGTCCCGGCCCTCCCCTCTGCCGGGTGTCCGGGCCTTGGCGTAGGGCTGGCCTTGCTCAGGGCCTTCCTGCCACTGTCCCCACAGGCCTCGCACAGCCTGGGGCTCGTGCTGCTCTCGGGCCTGCACGCCCTGGCGCCGTGGCGCTTCGCGCTGAAGCAGATCGGAGGCCAGTTCGGCTCCAGCGTGCTCTCCTACTTCCTCTTCCTCAAGACGCTGCTGGTCTTCAACGCCCTTCTGCTGCTGCTGCTCCTGGCCTTCATCGTGGGCCCGCAGGCTGCCTTCCCGCAGGGCCCAGTCCCCACCGCCTTCATGGGGCTGGAGCTCCTCACGGGCGGGGTGAGGGGAACGCACGGCGGGGCGGGGACATCTGGCGGGACAGGGATACCCATCTTCTGCTCCTGCCTTGGCACTGTCGCCTCTCTTGTCACGGCTTCCCCCAGGCCCCCCTGCCCCGTGCTGTGACCCCACGGGGCTGCAGACTCAGGTGCTCCTGATACCTGTCGTGTCTGGTCTCAGTGGGGCCTGGGATGGCCGTCACCCCGTGCCCATCTCTGTGTTTGTCTCGTTGCCCACATCCTGGCTGTCCCCTGCCCTGCCCCTCTTGCCTGCCCCCAGGGCTTCCTCTCTCTGCCTCTCTGAGCCCCGAGGGTGGGCCAGGGGTGGGCATTGGGGAGGGTGCCTGACTCGGCCGGGCCTCCTCCTTGCAGGGTGGCTTTGCCCACACTGTCATGTACTACGGCTACTACAGTAATGCCACGCTGAACCAGCCGTGCGCCCCACAGCCCAATGGCAGCCAGTGTACCCCCAGGGCGGGCAGCCTGCCCTACAACATGCCCCTGGCCTACCTGTTCACTGTGGGGGCAGCTGCCTTCATCACCTGCATCACCCTGGTGTACAGGTAAAGGCCTCTACTGAATGCCTCTGGCCCTGAGCACTGTCCTTCCATAGGCCACTGACCCTTCCTTCCACCCCCACCCACCTATCCGTGCATCCATCCCTCCACTCACCCACCTACCACCCATCCACCCCCACCCACCCATCCATCCATCGACCCTTCCTTCCAGCCATTCATCCACTACCCACCATTGTCTCATCCGTCCACCCATTCATCCATTCATTGATCCTTCTTTCCTTCCATCCTCTCTCCCGCCCATCCCTCTATTCATCTGTACATACGTCCATCTATCCATGCATCCGTCCTTCCATGCCACAAACATTCTCTGTGCTCAGCTCGGGGCAGGAGAGTCAGTGACACGATGTCTGGCCCATCCCTCTATTCATCTGTACATACGTCCATCTATCCATGCATCCGTCCCTCCATGCCACAAACATTCTCTGTGCTCAGCTCGGGGCAGGAGAGTCAGTGACACGATGTCTGTCTCTGGGAGAAGACAGATCAGTGAATGAGCTGGAAAAATCCAGGAGCCCTAGAGGTGTTTGCCTAGGTGTTAGGGGAGCATTGGGGAAGGGTCAGGCTGGCTTCCCAGGAGAGGTGGCACTTGCCCTAGAGTGGGCAGGAAGGAAGCAGAGACAGGCCAGGTGAGTCTGGCATCTTCTGTACCGTGTCTCGGTGGGAGGCCACCGCCAGTCAGTGGCGCATGAAGCCCCGACCCCTCTTCTAGGCACTTGTGGCTGATGGGCACTCTCTTGTAGAGGGCTGGTCTAGAGTGGACAGTGGTCCACACCTGGAGGCCGGGGTCGCTGGGCCAGAGGTGGGGCAGGAGGATTGCGGGGGCCGGTGCAGCGCTGGGAGGGCTCCTCTGAGCAGGTGGTGGGTGTCCCATCTGTCCTCTGTGCCCCTCACCCTTGTTCAACCTCCACCTGTGTCTGCTTCTCTGCAGCATGTCCCACTCTTTCGGGGAGAGCTACCGGGTGGGCAGCACCTCTGGTGTCCACGCCATCACTGCCTTCTGCTCCTGGGACTACAAGGTGACTCAGAAATGGGCCTCCCGCCTCCAGCATGACAACATCCGTACGCGGCTGAAGGTGAGCCGGGGAGACTGGAGCCACCTGCCCCTGGCCGTGGCCCTAGAACCCCAAGCCACCTGCCACCTTCCTGAACATGCAGTCTAGGTCCACCTTGGACCAAATGCCAAAACTGTGGCCCGAGGGGACGGCCATCTGTCCTCAAGCTGGATCGGGCGCTGGGGAGGGTGGCCTTCTCCTGCCAGCAGTGATGGGCATGTCCTCATTTTTTCTCCCGTACATGTCCTCAGTTTGGGGCTGCCTCTGTTGTCTGCTAGCAGGTGTTAGCAACCACTGCCCAACGAGCATAGGAGCCAGCATAGCAGAACTCTGCAGGCAGCAGGTTTTGTTTTTTTTAAAAAGATGACCGGTAAGGGGATCTTAGCTCCTGACTTGGTGTTGTCAGCACCACGCTCTCCCAAGTGAGCCCCGGGCCGGCCCTGGCAGCAGGTTTTGGCGGGCATGTGTCCAAGGGCGGCCGGAGAGGCAGGTGCTGAAGCCCCAGCAGGAGTGAGGCCAGCTCTCCAGGGCCCTTCCCTAGTTCATGCTCCCCGCTCACAGGAGCTCATTTAATGGCCACAGGAGCCCAGCGGGTAAGGATTGTTACTTCTCCATGCTACAAGTGAGGAAACTGAGGCACAGAGGTGGTCTCCTGCTCGAGGTCCTGGGGCTAGGAAGCAGGAGAGCTGGGCGTCATGGGAGGTCTCTGCCTTCCCGGGGCTGTGAGCTGTGGGAGTTCACAGCTGTGGCCTGGCCCGTGGGCCCCGCTTCTGCCCTCGGGAACTCCTGTGGGGGACAGGTGCCCTCTGAGGCTCCTGGTTGGCTGCGGGCCACCCACATCCAAGGGAACAGGTAAAGCACAGCTGAGAAAGGCCACCTGCCCCGCAGGCAGGGCTGGGCCTCCCAGCCTCTCCTGCAGGGGAGAGGTTGGGGGGGGCCTCAGGAGGGACCAGCCGGGCACGGGTCCATTGAGGCAGGGTCCTGTGCTCTCTGTGCCTGGGAGCGGGGGGGCCTAAGCAGTTGGGAGGAGCCGGTGGTGGCTTTGGGGTGGGCACAGGCCAGTTCAGGTGAAGGGAGGTGAGGGCGGGACAGCCTGTGTGTTGTGTGTGTCTTGTGTATGTCACGTGTGTATCACACGTGTGTCTGCACACCTGCACCTGTCTGTGCTGTTCAGCAGGTGATGGGGACATGCTGCCTCCCGCAGGAGCTGCTGGCTGCGTGGCAGCTGCAGCAGGAACCCCGCAGCATGTGCGGGCGGCTGCGGCAAGTGGCTGTGCTGGTGCTCGTGTGGCTGCTGTGTTTGGGGACCACGCTGGGCTGTGCTGCGGCCGTCCATGTCTTCTCGGAGGTCATGCTTGAGGTGTGCGGAGGGGACAGAGAAGCAAGAGCCTGGCCCTTCACTAGAATGTGTCCCCAGTCGTAGACATCCAGGGTCCCACAAACCCTTGCTGGAGGCGGCCTCCTGCGTCCCTCCTGGGGCTCATTCTGTCCCATGCCCTCCCCTGTTTTTCTTGTCTTCTTTCTGGTTTCCTTTTTCCACCACCAGCGTCCCCTTCCCACTTCCTGTGTGGTGCGCACATGCGTCCTGGGGCTGCGTCCCCGGGGAGGGAGGTGCTGCCCGCCAGTTCTGCCCCCTCCTCCTTTCCCTGGGGCCCTCCCTGCACCCCTCCCCCACAGGGCCCCTCAGAGCAGGGCACCCGTGTGACCTCTGCCCCTCCACCATCACCCTTGCAGAGCCCGGTGGCTGCTGGCCAGGAGGCTGCGCTGCTGGCCCTGCCCCTGGTGGTCTGCCTCCTCCACCTGGCGGCCCCATACCTGTACCGTGGCCTGGCAGCCCTGGAGCGGCACGGCTCCCCAGTGCTGGAGGTGTACATGGCCATCTTCAGGTGTGTGGCCGGACAGGGGGGGCTGTGGCCTCTGTCCCCTGGCACCCCTCCCTCAGTCCTGCGCCCCACCCTCCACAGGAACCTGGTGCTCAAGATGGCCATCCTGGGCGTTCTCTGCTACCACTGGCTGGGCCGCAGGGTGGCTGCCCTCAGGGACCAGTGCTGGGAGGACTTTGTGGGCCAGGAGCTGTACCGTTTCGTGGTGATGGACTTCATCTTCGCACTTCTGGACACGCTTTTTGGGGAGCTTGTGTGGAGGTGAGGGACCCCCACATCACTCACACTCGTCCTCCCTGGGTGGGACGGGGCTCAGCATGTCCTCACCTGCGCACCAGGGATGGTGGCCTGGGACGTCCTCAGGCCTCAGCAGAGCAGGACCAGACCTTGCAATTCGGGCCACACATCTCCCCCCATGACAGCTCTGTAAAAGGTCGTTAGAGAAAAACGCTTACAAGACGTAACTGATGCATTTTTAGATTGGAACGGAAAACGGGTTTCAAAATGATGTGTACATTACGATCTCAGTCTCCTACAGAAAACGGGGTGGGAGGAAAGAGGCAGAAGAGGGAGGGACGGTTTCAGTAGGTTACAGGTGGTTCAGTGCGGGCGCTAGCATTTCTCTTTGTGTTTTCTTTGAGAATATGAGAATTTAAAGATGATTAAAAAAGTAAGATTTTTTTTAAGAGGCAGGAACACGTTTGACGCCGATTCTGCATGTTTAGATCTGGATGTATCTGTACTTAGAGGAAGCCCCGAGGGTGGGGACCCCAGCGTGGTGGCTCTCTCTGTGACATTTGTTGGATGCCCACTCAAGGAGGGCTGGGGTGTCGGCTTGGCATGAGGGCGGTCACCTGGCCCCAAGTGCCTTCCGGGGGTGGGGCCTAGGGTCAGTCCCCTGGCCAGGTGAGGCCCTCCCGTCTGACCCCCAGGGGCTCCTTCCTCTGCCCCAGGTTCATCTCTGAGAAGAAGCTCAAGAGGAGGCGGAAGCCTGAGTTTGACATAGCCCGGAATGTTCTGGACCTGATTTATGGGCAGACTCTGATCTGGTGAGGGTCCCCCACTTGCTTCCCACTGCCCTTCCCCTGGGTACCCTGCACCCGCCTCCTCCCGGGGTCACAGCAAGGCCCAGCCTTGGGACTCTGGAGTGGTTGGGCCCTGACCCCTCACCTCCGGGGGATGCCCAGTCTGCAGCCACATGTGCTTGCACTCCCTGGGGTCCAGACCCAGCCGGTCTTGAGGGCAGAGAGGAGGACACTGGGGCGGCTTGTTCCAGCCTGAGCCAGGCCCGGGTGGCCATCCTAGGCCCGGGGAGCCATGCAGGGGTCATGACCCCAGCCCTGGACTGCAGCCCTGTCCTCTCACCTCCTCAGGCTGGGGGTCCTCTTCTCGCCCCTCCTCCCTGCCATACAGATTATCAAGCTGCTGCTCCTGTTTTACGTCAAGAAGGTAGGGCTGCCGCTGTGCCCAGCATGGGCTAAGGGGCTGGTGGTAGCCGCCTGGCAGCCACTGGGCACAACCCAGCTGGCCAGACCCTGGGACTTTGGAACCCTCCCCTCATCCCAGTGCTATGGGGCAGGCAGCCCAGGGCTGCCCTCTGGGGTCCGTCCCCTGACACCCTCTCCCCCCCAGCATCACTGTCTTTGGTAGGCTTTTAGCATCCCGCTGGGTTCAGAGGTCACCACCAGGTGTCTGTGTGCGCTGGGCCGGAGCTTAGGGCCAGACTGCAGGAAGACACTGAGCTGTGGCCCTTGTGGCCCCTAGAAAGTGACCCTGCTCCCCTGTCCTCAGCTGGGTGTGCTCCGTGGCTATGAAGCTTGGTTCACGTCCTGCCTCTGGGGAAGCTCCTCTCCTTCTGTCTCCTATTTTGTCATCTGTTCGGGGGGCTGGTGGGGAGCCTCTCCAGAGGATGTCGGAGGTAGAGCCTGGCACAATGGTGGCCTCTGTCTGTGGAAGTGGCTGTTAGTATCAGCCCTTCCCCATATGCGTGGCCTTGGACGAGCTACCCTGTGTGCCTCGATCTCCCTTCTGTAAGCGGGAGGTTGGCGAGCTGGCTCTGTCCAGGCCCAATTCTGCTCAGAGTCCAAGTGTCTGCCTCGTTCTGCCGACGGCTGCCCCAGCCCTGGGGTCTCGGCTCAGGGCCCCGACTGGAAGCAGAGCCCGCCAGGCCTGGGGGAGGGGGCGTGGGAGGTGGCGGGGGCGGGGCCGAGCTCAGCATTTGTCCCCAGACCAGCCTGCTGGCCAACTGCCAGGCGCCCCGCAGGCCCTGGCTGGCGTCGCACATGAGCACGCTCTTCCTCACGCTGCTCTGCTTTCCGTCCTTCCTGGGCGCCGCTGTCTTCCTGAGCTACGTCGTCTGGCAGTGAGTGGCACCTGGCCTGTGGCCTTGGTGGGCAGGAATGGACGGAGGGGCTGTTCTTTGTGCCATCCACGATGTGGGGTGCCGGTGCCTGCAGGGCGCCCAGGATTCGGGGTGATGGGGAGGTTTCCTTTGTCCCGAGGTTGGGGGCGGGAGGCTGGGTGGAGGGGCCATTGCCTGGGCTGAAGGTTCCCGGCGACCTTTTTCCTCAGGGTGAAGCCCTCGAGCACCTGCGGCCCCTTCCGGACGCTGGACTCCATGTATGAGGCAGGCAGGCTGTGGGTGCGCCAGCTGGAGACGGCGGGGTCCAGTGTCTCCTGGCTGTCCTGGTTGTACCAGCACCTGGTGGAGGACACAGTCTTCATCTTCCTGGTGTCAGCCCTGCTGCTGTGAGTAGAGGGTGGGAGGGCGTGTCCCCAAGGCAGCTAGCCTGGCCTGGGGCCCTGCTCTGGACCGCACCTGTTTCCTGCAGGGCTGTCATCTACCTCAACATCCAGGTGGTGAAGGGTCAGCGGAAGGTCATCTGCCTCCTCAAGGAGCAGATCAGCAACGTGAGTCCGCCCTCCCTTCCGCCGCCGGCTCCCCTGCTCTGCACCCTCGGGCCATGGCTTTGTCTGGTCAGCCACTTGTGTGTCCCCAAGATGCCTTCCCCTGTGGACCTCGCTGCTGACAGGTTTTGTTTGCCACACAGGTTACGCGGATAATGCGTGGAATTTGGATTAGGTGGTGGCACAGACATGCCACAGCCGGGCTTGCGATCTGCAGAGCCCTGCCTGCTGGGACCGGGTCTCCGCGTGGAGGCGATTCTAGCCCCAGGCAGGACACGTGGCGTGTTTTAGGGCGTGCGGCCCCCTGTGGGTACAGACAGTCTCTGAGGATTTTTGCGATACTGGAAGTGGCTTTCGGACTTCCACCGGCGGGGGGGACCCATGTTGGAACACGGACCCTGCTCAGTGCTCTCATTTTATAAGCAGGTGGAATAAGGCAGGATCGGAAACATTTTTATTGAGGAGAAGTAACAGTTGTTATTAAGCACTTATGGTTTGTCACGAAAGAGTGAGCAGAAGAAGTGGGACTAGAAGCCCAGGGCACAGCCCCGCCAGGGCTCTCCCCCTCTGCTGGGGCCGGCCTGCCCGAGGGCCCGAGGGCACCTACTCCTTCACCAGGTGTCCCATCAAGTTGGACACAAGGTACTTTCCTGTCTGGGGGACTCGGGCTGGCCTCTTCCCCGAGAGCCACCCCCTCTAGCCTCCTCACGGGGCGCACCGTTGTAGAGCAGGTCCTTGCCTTGCGCCGGGTGTCCTGCAGCGACGGCAGGCTGCTCACACAGAGCCGCCCAGGGACAGCGGCTCTTCGAAGGACGAGGTAAAGACGAGCCGCTGTTCTCCATGAAATGCGGTGGGCTCTGATCTGGCCCCCCCGGGCCTGACATCACCCTCCCTGGTGCCGTTTTGTTCTTTGCTTGTGCAGTTTTGCACTCATGTGCTTAATGCTTGGCCACTTTGGGGCTGGCTGGGTCCCTGTGTCCCATGCATGCTCCACACCAGGGCCAGGCTGGGGTTTCTCTGTCATGCTAGCTCCAGGCTTGTTGGAGGTATGGGACTGGGAGTCTGCCCAGGTGGGACAGCGTAGGTGCAGGAGGCATGGCCCCTGCAGGCACGTGACTCTGCTGCTGGCTGTTGGTGCCAGCGGCCAGGGCTCTGGGCCCCAGTCCCAAGCGGAAGGCACTGTTAGGGACGGCTCCCACTTTTTCTTGGGTTGCAAACAGTGCAATATACATTGACCAACTCCTTGACTCTCACACGGGAAGCAGAGCTCACATGCATCTGGGCTGAGGTGGTTGTCTGGACATAGCTATTGGAATTGGGTTTTTGGCTAAATAGCTCATGCCCTACTTTGTGCCACTCCAGAGCCTATGAGAACCAGCTGGGGCCAGGAGTAGCACTGCGGAGGATCCCAGCTCTGCCCTCCATTTCTCTGGGGTCAGAAGGATTGTTCTCCAGGTGGACCCTGGCTGCACAGTGTCCACCACACTGAGCTCCTGCCCCCAGTTCCAAGTCTTTGGGGCTGCAGGTCTGAGCTTGGCTGGTGCCCCAGCGACTTTCCCTGGGCCTGGGCAGGGCAGCTAAGCTCAAGTGCACAGCCCTGCCGTTACCGCCAGCATCTCGACAGTGAGGAATGACGTGGGGGATGTAGCTTGAGGAGCCTGGGGTCTGTCTTCGTAGGTACTCTAAGGGGTACTCCCGCGCCGAGCCAGGTTACCAGGTGCCCAGGACGAATCTGCTTGGCTCCTGACAAAATTGCTCTTTTCT